ACATTTTCCTTTCCTTAAACGTAAATGGGAAACTGGTGTGGCTCGGTACGCCAGTGGAGATCTTCCTGCACGCTCGAGCGGCTAAATTATGTGACACCGTGGGAGACAAATACATTACGCACCACTGAAAACCTCGAAATAACGGTACTTCGCTTTAGTGTAAATGTTTCCTCGTGTAGAATTTCGGTTTGTCAACCCAGAAGTTGGCTTTTTAGTGATTGATCTTAGTTCGAATTAACACAGGAAAGAAAAACTTTTACTCGAATTAAAGATAAAAAAAAAAAAAAAACAATTTCGTCACACTACCGTCGATCTGTAGGGAGTGTTTATGCATTTGATGAATTGTTTGGTTGCTCTTAGGGTAACAGCAAATTCCTAGATGCACAATTAAAGCTATGGAAGACAAATCTCGTGAGTAAAAAATGGGAGTAGGTTATGTGTATGACCACTACTAACGCTTGTAATTAAGTTGTCGGGGCAAGTTCTTATTCAGGTTCAATTTTTTTTCACCCTTAAACCTTATAAAACTACGAAAACCAAGATTATACACACCTTTACTCCTATTTTAAATAACTGGGTACGTATCATCATGGTTAAAAATAAAGTTGAATGTTTTTCATCCCCTCAAAAACCTAAATTTCTTCCTTTCTAACCCCCTAACAGTCGAAATTCTTTATTATTATCCCTCAACTTAGGCCCTCTTTCAAATACAACCCTTAAAAGTCTTCTTTCAATCAGCTTTCCACAGTTTGTCCCATAAAACTAGGCAAGACTTGTAATATTTTGACAACCTGTATCCATTTAGGCATTAAATAATCATTAAGTATTATGTAAGAAAACTTACTCCTCATGGCCCAACTCTTCATGTTCTGCAGTCCAAATGTCAGCTGATAGAAGGCCGTGCTGCACTCACGAGACATCTTGGAATCGGAGTTGACTCTTATCATAACAGGGAGAGACTGTCGAATTAAATTGTTGACGAATTCTTGGCTCCTGTCCTTGAATTTCTTCCACACCTGTTTGTCATCGCCTTTCTCCTTTTCTTCTTCTACTGTAACTGATTTATCTGGCATACCGAAATCGTAGGTGCCATTGTTTGCGTTTGAAAGTCGTAAACTCAACAATAGTATCAGGAAATTAGCAAATTTTCCTACTTTCATCGTCGATGGAATGGTATAACCTACTTTTCTATAATTCTCATTTTCCGTCCGATATTTTTATTCAAACTCCATNGGTGCTGCCAAATAGTAGTGTATATCGGCAGAAACGTACCAAGTATGGTACATACACTGTAAAAATAATAATTGTCAAGTTCGGTATACATCCTCCTGCTAGTTATTTTGTCATATTTACCATATCGTTTTTATTGACCCAGGTATTGACTCCGAACAATGGTCCCCACCACCTTTTGTTCGAAAGCATTTATGCTCGTAAATAACACGTGACGTATCGCACAACTTTTACTTTTAAGCGTAACACTTAAATCGATGGAGACATTTAAAAAAAGGGTCACGAAAGATTCTCTTTGTTGGAGGGTTCGAATGAAACAGAAATTATGAGACAATTAAAAGACACAACTTACTCGGTTAAGTGAGTTCCCTCTTCTATCGGTTTCGTGATAAACTACTGGGTGATCCGCTGTTTATTTTCATTACATTGTTCAGAACAAAACACTTACATTTCGACTTAATTACAAATTAATTCGGCATTTTGGACTGAGTGCAAGTATAAATAAACATCACTTCCTCTCGGATGCCAAAAGAAATGTGATTTAACATTATATTTTTTCGTAGTTGGACCGAACCCGCTTTAAGTATTAATGCCCCTAGTAAAGAGCATCTTCAAAGAGGGATCTATAGCATAGACATGCCTTTAAAAATAAGCCAAGCGTAACTTAATACAGTAGACTCCCCTATAACACTGTTGATAATTCCGTATTATATGAATTCCACGTTGTAGGAGTCACTTAGATTTTACAAATACGTGTGCCAGGCTGTGAACGGCTCACGTATTTGTAAAATCTAAGTGACTGGTACAACATGGAATTCATATAATACGGAATCATCAATAGTGTTATAGGGTGGTCTACTGTATCACATATTGTTGTGCATCTCTCCGGCGAGATATAGCTTACATATATATCATATATAACCCGGGGTAAATGATGCCCCATTGGGTCTTATAGTTTTCGCGTATGTAGTGCCAATTTTTCGGGCATCTCTCCGGTGAAAAAGGTAGCCTACATCTGACTTTGCCAGAGTTAAGCACCATTCTGGGGCATCTCTTTCGCACGAACGGGAGATGTGCCCCGATATAAAGATTTACTCGGCGTTAAATCGAGAATATCCGAGTAATAATTCGATTATTCATTAAAATGTGTACAGAAAAAGAAATATCGAGAGATGAAATAGGAAAATGGAAGCTCAAAAAATGGGCATTTAAGAAGACAACGTTCCATTTTCCAATTGTTATGAAGAAGGGAGAAAATAAAGGCATTTTATCGTCATCAAATTCGATTATTCAAACAAAGAGTATATTTTGCTGGAGGAGAATCCTTTGTAACGTCAACCCGCCAATTAGACGAAAATAAATAGTAACTGCTATTTTCCGATTAGTTAAATAGCCTCTTATTCTTCCATCTGACTCCATTTTCTTTAAATTACGGCTCTTTAAAGGGGGGTGTTCGGAGCAAACATGCACTCTACATCTTCATAAAAATCGTTTCGCTTCGCTCTCTCCATTTTAAAAGAAACTTCTTCTCTTCTAACGGTCTGTTCAAATATCTCCGTTACTCTGCGTAACGTAACGTCACATTGAATAAAGTGTAGTATCAAGATTCACCAATTTTTCATTTATTAACTAAAAACGTGGGTTCAGATCAAATCAGAATAAGTAACCGGCGAGAGATCGTTCGGATTCTTTAAGATTTATTTGTCAATTATTTTAATTTGTGTTCCGAGTGAGTCCTTACATTACAGTTGAACAGCCTTTCTCCTGGTTATGAAAAAAGAACCTTTCCCATATCCGAACCTATGACCTTCGATAATTGTCAATACTCTAAAAGGTTATTCCACGAATTATCTCTAATTAGTACATTCGACATAATTGAATAGTAAACACAATAGCCGAAGGGCCCGGAGTGATCTCTGATCGCTTAGTTTGTTTATGAAGTAATCTTCCAATGCCCTGAATGAAAAACTGTCCATATTGGATCCGAACCCACGTCTAAATATGTTTTAACCTATAAATCATAAAATAATCTGTAATTTAGGACGTTAATTCTGATTCATGCTGGGCAGTTCTTTTTAATCCAGGTCAACGGCGAATTACCCTATAACCTATATACTATTATGTTAATTTGCTTGGGGCCCAAATTAACATAATTGAATAGGAGCCCCACATTCAAGGAGTCTGGAACGATCAGATTGCTTACATATAAACTAACTAAACCCCTAATAAAACTGTAGATTATTGGAACCGAACCCACGTCTTAATATATCGTAATAATCTATGTTTATAGTATAGCTAGAAATATGAAGGCGTGGGTTCGGATCCTATCCAGAGCAGTCTTTCCCTATTACAGCGTATAACTTGTGTTTATTAAACAAATTTCTTATATGCATAATATGCTACAATACGTCACAAAAAGTACGTATGATGTCATTTATTAGCCGTTTATATAGTCGACGACGCGTTCGCACCACGTGATCGAAAGCATTTATGCTCGTAAATAACACGTGACGTATCGCACAACTTTTACTTTTAACACTTAAATCGATGGAGACATTTAAAAAAAGGGTCACGAAAGATTCTCTTTGTTGGAGGGTTCGAATGAAACCGAAATTATGAGACAATTAAAAGACACAACTTACTCGGTTAAGTGAGTTCCCTCTTCTATCGGTTTCGTGATAAACTACTGGGTGACGCTTCGTGACGGGGTGTAGTTTACACTGTACAAAGCGACATCTTTCGCTTTGCACACGCAAAAAGTAATATGAAAATTACTTCTTATTATAATAATAGAAATGGTGTCTTATCGTCGCGTGTAACTGACCTACTACCGGTACCTCTTAAAGGTTAAAGGTCACGCTTAACTATGCCCTCGATTCATTTTGTACAGTACAAAACACTTACAATTGATAGTAAGTATTTAAAACAATAATATCGATCAAAGATTCGGGTGAGATCGCGTGTTGCCCCCAAATCTTGACTGAAATATCAAGAAATACCCAAATGTGGGTGAAATGCGCCCTAAATTGGGATTAGGCTCAGCCGCAACATCACCAAACTGGAGATTACTTCCGGTGTTTCCGAAGCCATGCCAGGCATCTAAAAACATGACTTTCGCGTAACACGTAACATTCACGTGTTACGAAGTGGATCCAAATCGCGGCTATCTAAATTTCAGCGCGCCCGAAACAACTGGAAACACACTACGAATATACGTTACGATGTTTTTAAAGCGTTACTACTTAACTGAGCGTAACAAGACTACGTCACGCTATCAGCAACAGTAAGTACAGCGTCACCGATTTACAGTACAGTTATTATTAAGTTACGATGGTAACGATTTTGGCAATTATTTAACTTACTGTACTTCCTCTTCGTACTATCATTTTGAAAATTTTAAGCATCGTTCTATTATATTTGAAGAATTTATCGCCTTCGCTCGTGTGCCACGTAGAGAACGAGGAGGAGAGTAACACGTGGCTCCATTCTTTATCGTAAAAATCTGTAGAAACGAGAAACGGGGGTGAAAACATTCTCGATTTTCAATTTATAAATGAATATTTGGCGAATTTCCCCGATACCGACTCGAACTGCGAAGATATTTTCGATAGATAAAGCACTATCAGATACATTAATCATCATTTTGTTGCCGTTCTGTTACTGTTTCGCTCGATTTTTTCTCGTTTAATCGATAAAATGTGGAAAATGGAGGTTATAAATCAGTTAATTCAAAAAAAAATATCGCTTTCTACCGATATTTTAGGATTTAAATATATTTAATTAAAAGTAATTTCTTACACAACTCGATATAAAAATGGCGTGACACAAATGTACACTTTATATAATACAAGTGGGACAGACACACACACGAATTTGATAAAAACCATCGACATCCTCGGTGAAAAAATTAAAATACTTTTTACATGGCTCCATCTGGTGGCGGTTTTCTTTAACTCAAAGGCAGGTCGAATCGGGAATGGAAGTGATGCGCCCGTTGATTCCATTCATGCGCGGTCCCCCCTTAGAGTCGGATATAGTGCGAATTTTAGGGATTTCTACTGTTTTAGGGAAATTTGGCTTGGGTTTGGGAAATATAATCGGATCCAGCGCAGAAAAGGGTGCTTCAAATGCTAAATAAGCTACGACCGCCATGATGGTCGACATCAGGAGATTACCGAAAAATTCGTACACCTGTAAACAGTAGGAAATGCTTGTAAATGGTGATCTTAAGGGGGTTATAATAATAATTTGGAGAACTTACAAAGTCGAAGTGGGAGAAGAAAAACCTCTGACGTCGAAATCCGTTGCGTAAATTGAGAGCCAGGAAGTGAATTAGATAAACACAGTAACACAGGCGACTTAGAGGGAGGAAGGGCTTCCACGACATAAATCTATTCAGTATACCTGTTTGAGAAAAAAAGAGCAATTCTTGGTGTTATTAATTACCTTTCTGTTCGCCAAACACCAGTTGTAATTTATCACGGGCGAAGATGAACGACTATTTTCGAATCTGGAGAGAGTTCTTTAAGAATGGAGAATATTCACCTTAGAAAACTTTAATCTTCGGCATTTATTTTCATTGTTACTTGTTTAATTATTTTTTCTCTTTATTGCGTAACTTTATAAAGTGATCCAGTAAATAGAATGGGCCATAAACCCATGTCCATGGATAGACGCGTGACTCGCTTCCATATATCCACCCTACCTGACCCCATAGGAGATTAAACAAAAGAAACTTACAACAGTTTCCTACGCCATTGTGAAACAAAATGGCGGCAGTTTAGGGTCTAAATATTTGAATTTCTCGTCGTAAATTTTAATGCAAATTTATCGAAGAAAGAACAAAATGGCGGACTTGTTAATTGCGCAGAATTAGTTACAATGAATAAAACAGTGTTGTTTATGCGCGTTTATGTATTCTTGCGCCATATTTTCTGTTATATTAATAATTCAAAAACTGTTTTGAAAGTACAGGGTCATTTTTCGTGCGTGTCGTATGCGGGTTTCAATTTATCTGTACTTACCTCCGTGTCCCGTGGCGCATATGAATACCAGCCACCCCACCGTCAGTGCCCAACCCGTTCTGTGTACTGCAGCATATATCACAGCTGTGGCAGTGTCTGGTAAATACCCTCTGCTCCAATTATACGTTCCGAATAAGATGCCAAAGTTGCACGCAATGGCGGCGATCCACCCCAAAAGTTGATAAATCTGTGGAAGGAGGAGTCGAGTGGTAAAGAAATTGTTATAAAAATGATGGATTTAACGGAGCGACATACTTACGGGCTTTAACTTATGATCGCGATGACGTAAGATTAAGTAACCTATCAACATCCCGGCGCAATAAGATCCCACGTGGGTGTAGGGTTTGGAGTAGACTTGGTCTAACATTTCTATTGTGAAACTGTTGAAAAATTGTTTATAAATTAATTTCAACACGTAAAATCGCGAGTGGTGGTGTGTAGAAATGTTATTACTCACTCTTCGTCGGGTAATAAATAGAGAATTGTTGGATAATAATCGTGCAAAGCGGTGATTACTGCTGTGGTTACCATGGAGGCAAGAGTGAAGAGGATGATTAATATCAAGCCCAAAGTTTTCCATCTGAAGATAAATGATACCAACTTCGAACACACGCAAATAATTTCACAAATTTTAAAGAAAATAAAACAAACTTACTTGTATAGAGGGATTAGAATGAAGGGTGCTGCCAAATAGTAGTGTATATCGGCAGAAACGTACCAAGTATGGTACATACACTGTAAAAATAATAATTGTCAAGTTCGGTATACATCCTCCTGCTAGTTATTTTGTCATATTTACCATATCGTTTTTATTGACCCAGGTATTGACTCCGAACAACGGTCCCCACCACCTTTTCTTGCACTTGTTTGCCTCTCCTATAATTTCTTCGGGCCAAGCCGGACCCGAACCAAACAGGGGGAAGAGAAGAATGAAACCTAATGCTGCAGCTACAGGAGGTGTCAACCTGGATAAGTAAATACATCGTTAGATTGGTGAAAGGACTAGGTGGAAGATCAAAATTCACGTATCACTCGCCTCCAATATCTACGAACAGCGTGACGGATGACGTTTAGGCTTCCATTTGTCTTATCCATGGACTTTAGAGTGCTGTGCGTTACTACCACACCCCTGTAAAACAATGTATAAGTATAGATGGAAATAAGGATAAACAGTAAGGAAGTATTACGCACCCGATGAGGAAGAAGGTATCAACAGAAAGCCAAGAATTTGAAATGATTTGGAATGGGATCTCATCTAACGAATTCTTCATCTCTTGAAGTCGAGCTGAAACCATACGCTTTCAAGAGTAAGTCGTAAAATAGGGACGAAAGAAATGCCTTAAAATTAGCAACCTACCCATTGCGTATCTGTTAATGAAACCATAAGTGTGGATGAGGACGATCCACGTCATGGTTAGACACCTGAGTCCATTAATCACTCCCAGGTTATCGGTGGAGGGTTTGGTATCTAACAACTTCTTCCAGTTGGTCCAAAGGGAGAATGCAAGAATGCAATCGTGCAATTTATCTAAGTAATGAAAAAAGTAAGAAAATCGAGAGAGGAGGAGGGGAGATTAAACGAGAGTATCGATTTACTTACTCGGTTCCGATATGTCTTTTCCTTCTGCGGCTTTTCCTCTTCTTTTGATGACGTCAAAAATGGTGGCTAATATCAGGAGGAGGCCCAGACCGGAAAATATTCCTCTAAACAATAGAAAGAAATGGTCACAGCGGGTTTCTTCGTAGAAGTGAAAGATGGGTATAAAATTTAAAAATTGCTCACGTGATAATTAATTGAGTAGTGGAGAATGCGATAGGTTCTTTCTTCTGACAGTTGACCACTTCCGGTACCATGGGAGACTCTTTTAGAGCTGAAAAGTTTTGTTATTACACATCTATGCGGATTTATATTCAACAAAAACAAGTGTGACTTACCTACGTTCATTACTTCCTGAATGTCTTTTTCTGTGCAAAGCGAGGGCACACAGAGTCCGTATTGAAACCAAAGTAAATAGAACATGGGACCATTTTTAGCAATGTCTCTTAACACCTAAATAAAATAGGGTAAGAATATCAGCTCGTGTGCCACCAGTCACATCTCCGAGGTTCCTCAATTTTGGCATAAGTCAGGTGCCAAAATCAAATAACCCCAGTCGAGATACTGACCGAATCTCTTTTAGTGAAGTTACTAAAATCCAAAACGGGAGTGTTGTGGGTCAGACGAGGGACTTTTTTGGGTAGCAACGGGTGGATGTTGATACGACAATAATGACCTCGAAACTTCTCCTCGTTCTGACGTTCGTCCTTGACCACCACGTTAAGGCACTCGTCATAATCACCGTAATCTACAAAGGAACCATCCAGAACACCGGCCGGGGGTCGACCGGAAGAATCCAACACTGAAACCGGAAATAGCACGGTGAGAATCGCATAAATCGCCGTCAATTAGTGACTTGGATGGATATTCGTTTTCAGATCAGATTTAGTGAAAAAAAAGGCCCTTTCCTTAGATTTTAATTTAAAATTTATTGTCTTAAGCATTATATAAACAAAATTAAAACGTGCTGCAATATAATTACTGTCGAGTGAATTATATTTAGCTATTAAGGAGTAACGAACTACTTTGTTAAAGCGACGGGGCAAAGGTTAATGACCTAAATCGTAGCGGGAGTTTTTCACTTTATGAAGACATTCCTTTAACGGAGATAAATGACGGAGACTTCACTAACCCAGCCTCACGCGCATTAACTTCTCCCTCTCTAAAAAATCTCGATTTAAGTGGTTTGGCTAATCGACCCATAAATCTAAAAAAGCAACCCGATCGACGTGCAATATATCAAATTTTACGTCTACTTTTTTTAAAGAAAACGGAAATAATTCAAGATTTTCGTTATATCGGGGTACTTTGCCAGCGTTCTGAGTGAATGAATTACAATTTCAGCAAGTTGTCGCGTGGTACCCTACGGTTTACAATACGAGACCCTTCAGGAATTTTGGTTTATAATGAAAGATTATCGAAGACCCTACGGAATTAGTAGGTTTTGTACCGAGGGATTGTCGAAGATCCTTTGGGGAGTGGTGCAATTTGATTAAATCATCAGAAGAGTACTTAAAGCAAAAGTAAATAGACACGGTAAAGAGGGGCATTCAGTGAAAGTGGGTCGTTAAAACACTAAGCACGGTGGCACGCGAGGCACAGGGCTAACTTGCTGCAAATTTCACGTGGACAGAACTGCAGATCGACGTTCTAAACGAAATTAGGTCGTAATCTACGATCGAAATTTCTGCATATTTATTACGTATTAGCGATAATACAGAGAAGAAAAGTGGGTTATTTATCAAAGTAGGAAGTCGTATCAAAGTGAAAGGAAGAGCTATTTTAAGTTCTTACGGTAATATATCCGAGTTTATTGATCCCTTAGGAGGTGTATATCTACAATCTGTAACTCTACTGGGGGTAGAAGTAGGTCTGTGTCGCGTGTAAACGCTGAAGGGCCTCTCCTACATTAGAGGTCACAGACCTTCTTTTAATTCCCGCAAAAAATCGAGGTCGACGAACAAAACGCAATATCCACTTTTGGGTAACTCTAGAAGAACACTTAGCGACTTAATTCACATAAAAACCGACTTTATATCGAGAAATTGAGATATTTTCGAAGTATAAAAAGCGAAAACATTACATTTTCCTTTCCTTAAACGTAAATGGGAAACTGGTGTGGCTCGGTACGCCAGTGGAGATCTTCCTGCACGCTCGAGCGGCTAAATTATGTGACACCGTGGGAGACAAATACATTACGCACCACTGAAAACCTCGAAATAACGGTACTTCGCTTTAGTGTAAATGTTTCCTCGTGTAGAATTTCGGTTTGTCAACCCAGAAGTTGGCTTTTTAGTGATTGATCTTAGTTCGAATTAACACAGGAAAGAAAAACTTTTACTCGAATTAAAGATAAAAAAAAAAAAAAAACAATTTCGTCACACTACCGTCGATCTGTAGGGAGTGTTTATGCATTTGATGAATTGTTTGGTTGCTCTTAGGGTAACAGCAAATTCCTAGATGCACAATTAAAGCTATGGAAGACAAATCTCGTGAGTAAAAAATGGGAGTAGGTTATGTGTATGACCACTACTAACGCTTGTAATTAAGTTGTCGGGGCAAGTTCTTATTCAGGTTCAATTTTTTTTCACCCTTAAACCTTATAAAACTACGAAAACCAAGATTATACACACCTTTACTCCTATTTTAAATAACTGGGTACGTATCATCATGGTTAAAAATAAAGTTGAATGTTTTTCATCCCCTCAAAAACCTAAATTTCTTCCTTTCTAACCCCCTAACAGTCGAAATTCTTTATTATTATCCCTCAACTTATGCCCTCTTTCAAATACAACCCTTAAAAGTCTTCTTTCAATCAGCTTTCCACAGTTTGTCCCATAAAACTAGGCAAGACTTGTAATATTTTGACAACCTGTATCCATTTAGGCATTAAATAATCATTAAGTATTATGTAAGAAAACTTACTCCTCATGGCCCAACTCTTCATGTTCTGCAGTCCAAATGTCAGCTGATAGAAGGCCGTGCTGCACTCACGAGACATCTTGGAATCGGAGTTGACTCTTATCATAACAGGGAGAGACTGTCGAATTAAATTGTTGACGAATTCTTGGCTCCTGTCCTTGAATTTCTTCCACACCTGTTTGTCATCGCCTTTCTCCTTTTCTTCTTCTACTGTAACTGATTTATCTGGCATACCGAAATCGTAGGTGCCATTGTTTGCGTTTGAAAGTCGTAAACTCAACAATAGTATCAGGAAATTAGCAAATTTTCCTACTTTCATCGTCGATGGAATGGTATAACCTACTTTTCTATAATTCTCATTTTCCGTCCGATATTTTTATTCAAACTCCATTACCCATAATCCCCTGGCATGCATTTGCAGCCACGTGATTCGCGACAGAAACAAGCGGGAGGGGGAAAAAAGTTTTCACTTGTTAACCCAATTCTTTACGTTTATAGGCTATTTAACCGAGAAATAAATTCGATTTTTTTAAAAATTCTAATTATAAATATACATAAAATAATTTGTCGAGGAATTAAAAGCGCCTCTTGTGTCGGTTTTTTGTTTTATCACGTGTTAAAACTGACGTAATTTCGGAAGGCGAACGTTTTAATTGTTGCGTATCGTTTTCATTATTACGAATTTTAAAAATCTTTCTTTTTGAAGTTACCGCATGGAACGTGGCGTGCGAATTTGTAATTAATACACTACATATTTTCTAAATTATTCACGCATTTAAGCCCTCAAAAACCAAATCTTTCAACAATTTAATGAGTAAACTTATAAGCAAACTAGACTGAAAATTCATTAACCTTCTTCAAAACTTAGAGGGCCTCTTCGTCTAACAGTTAATTGCCTGTCATCCGAGGCAGCCGAATACACTACTAGCGGATTTTTGTGCTAGTATTACACAAAATTACATAAGAATCGTTGACTGCCATTTTGAATTTTAAACGATAGTTTTGCAGTTTATAAGAGGCTCGACCCACTTAACTCGTTTGTAAATGTCCAGACGACAAATATTAGTGTAAGTCGAACAGTGTGTGTGTGTGATGACTCAATTATTTTCCTGCCCCGAGCCAATGCATCTATGAATTCGTTATAAGAAACGTAACAGTGGAGTGGATTGAAAGCATTTGCTTGTTATTAACATTGTAAGAGGATTTTATCTCTCGTTATTTAAGATGACCCGATAAGTTTATGATGACATAATGGCTCCTCTTTCTCCCCTCAACCAGTGACCTTGCAACAGTGAAAGTCAAAAATAAAAAAAATATTTGAGAAATTCAAAGCCTTAAAGTTTTCAACGAGATTTCATGCTTTTACATACAATTAGGGTATTATTTCTACAGATTTTTTTCTATAAAATATTGTAATTTTTCCCTAATTTAGATATTTTCATGTACACTTATACTTTTTAAGTATAAGAATGCTGACAAAAGGATAACTGTTAATGCTGTTACAGGAAAAGGTATATACAATACACTTTCTTCTGTGTCTTGTATTTCGTTGAGTTCCTGAAAATTAAGGATATTTCTCTGAATATAATTTATTTCATTTTAATTTAAAAAATACTTAGCCTCGGGTGAGAGAGGAAGGAAAACAAAACAATACTTCACTTTCCTCACAAGGGTTAACTATATTTCATGCTTCAATGCCCAACTAATTCAAAACGGGAACGAGAAGAGTTGGGTTCGAACAGCTCGACAGACCTGTTTGGTGAAAAATTTTGTTCTAGAAGTGTTTTACCTTCGTAAAACTGGGCTATTCTACACCCCTAAACTTAATTATAAGGACGAAAATCCCGAGAGAGAAGGCTCGGACGGTGGCCAAAAACCACATCCCTACAAAGATCACGTAGAAATTTTTCTAGAAAACATTCCAGATTAAAGATTTAAACTCCCCACCAAACGGGGGCTATTGACAAGGAAATATTAAAAGCCCCGAGTGACGTTTTAAACAACAAAAAACAATTTTATGACCTAGTTTAGGGGAAGAAAGAGAGAGATACTTTCTATTTTAAAACGAAAGTATCGGCTCCTTAAGGTGGCTTCTTCGTGCTGCGGGTTGTGTACAAAAATCTACCACCATTTCCCATTAGGTTGTTAACCCTGCCTAACTTATCTTCGATATTGTTCCTTTATCGATATATTAATCGCTTTTTACGACGCTTCCTCGTTGTAACGTTACGCAGTAACGCGTTTAACAATTACGTTACTAAACTGAACTCCGTGTCAGCATCAACGATCGCTGTTTCAACGGATGTATTCGACGATTTCTATGTAAAATCCCCTATATAACGTTATAAATGATGCTCTTAACCTATGAGATATTATACGTAACGTTAACGCTTCTGAAATTTCGGGGAAAAGTCGATTTAACTCTTAAATTACTGTATCCTTCATATACAAGAAATGGCTGAAATATCCGAGATTTTCTAGGATATTCCTCGCTACGACGTTTAAAAGCACTACAACCAGTTATTTTACCATTATTTATTCTACAAATTTTACAAATCTCAAAAAACAGTGGAGTTTGTTCACGTACAATGCATCTCGCATGCCACGTAATGATAATTACAAAAACAGAATTATACACCATAGCAATTTTGTGTGTGCATATTTCCATCATCGACGGCATCTGCTGAACTGCAACACAGTCGACGTATTTTCTATACACGAACGAATCTTTATAAGCGGGTTATCGTCACCCATTTACTGCTTATGCATCAGTACATCGCTATACGTATACAAAACGCAATTTAGATTATTCTCGACATAAATCAAGAGGAAAATTCTCCAGGGAATTCGTACAACACGGACACAAAAGAAGTCATTTGTTGCTAGGATATTGCGGGTGCCACCAATCCAAGATCTGTACACTCTCCGTGGGGTCAAACTCGACGATTTCTCCTATGCCACCCGATTGGCTGCAACCGAACATGTGCATGGGGATGCGATTGAAGGATTGATAGTTGGCGGCGGTGAACATCAGCTGCACGCGACGGTGGTGCATGTCTCGCGACGTGGTGACTCGTACGTCCACTAGTTTGCAACCCATGACGGTGGACGAGGTGATGATGTAATGGGGGCAGGTGATGCGCAACACGCAGCAACCCTCCTCGGGGTTGGCGTTGACGTCGTCCATGATGGCCGCCGGATCGTAGTACTTGTTGTTCCTCTCGTGCAGCGACCAGTGAGGGTGGCGGTAATGGTTGTGCTTTCTGAGGTTTCTACCCGGTCCGAATGGGTGGAGATCGTTGGGTCCCGATTTAAGAAACTTGAAAAAGAACTGCCACTTCTCTCCCTGTTGGTGGTACCAGAAGGCGATGCACGAGCTCTTCACTATTTTGTCGGTGTCGTCTCCGGGTCGGGACAGGCGCTTGACGAAGGGAGAGTACACGTAGTACAGGGCGCAGATCACGCAAGCTCTCAAACGATAGGGGCGTTCGATGCACGTCGGTTGAAGATGACCGGGGAGCTCAGATTTGGGTGTGTAATATCTACAAGAAAATGGAAAAATTATACTCTAATATAAATAAGGATCATTTGTAAGACTACTAATACAATCGGGCACTGTATCAATCTTAGTCACATTATAAAACAGAATAGCAGCTTGGTTTCTTTGAATTTCGTGTGTTTGTATAAATATACATTTTGGTTCTTGTAGATTGAAGACAGAATTTAATTACTATTTATTAATTTTACACTTGGGCTTCACATATTAAGAAGAATAAAACAAAGAAAGCACGTGGTGTCTACTCTTTTACAAGAAAAGGTACAAATTTGATCAATACTAACCAAAATAAATGATATTCACAACAATTTTCTCATTGTGTAAACATATAATAGGGTCTGAATACTATTCTATAGAAGAAACTACAATTTTCTCAAGTCTTGATGTATAGTCAGTGGCAATATATTGTTAAAAACAGTTGAGTGTTTAAGGCAGGGTGAACTGACTTCTGGGCCACCCTATAGAATAATTAAGTTAATTTTTTTAAATTTAAAAACCATTAATATAATGCATTCTTTAACTATTATCCACTATCAAAAAAAGTGTTTAAGAATTTGTAAAAAATTTTGTAATTGTTATATATAATTGTGTATAAATAATTATATTTAAAAAAATAAATCTTTATTCACATTTTTCTACACCAAAAACCTTCCTAGAAATTAATTATAATATAAAATTGTCTTTAATTAATATTTTATTCTGCAATCCTTTCTCTGTCCAAATATGACTATCCCGTGCCGCAAATACTAGAGGCGCATGCATTCTAACGATATTTTGTTCTGTTTATTGTCCATAAACATTAAGAATTTTGACCGTTTGAGGCGGAAGACGCGGTCCGATGGGATATCATTTTTCATTCGATAACGGTATTTACCTCTAATGAAAATTAGAAATAACTAATTAGAATAGATGAAGTTACAAATTACAGAAACTGTTGCAACTAGAATTGCTCTTATTAGTTTAGCAAAGTCATTAGTAAAGGTAATGAAGAATTTATTCTTATGGTAAATGAATATGTGATTTAATAAGCTAATAAAATTTTGATAATTAGATAGGGAAATAATGGCTTCTGACGTGGCATCTTTATCCGGAGAAAACAAAGATCAAGGAATCTAAGAGGTCGGACGAGACAAGATCTTGTCCGAATGCAATAGATTTCTACTTATGATATAACTAATGCTATTATATGTGTAGTATGTTTTATTTTGAATAATCCTAACATCAGTATTTGAAAACTAACAAAACATAAGCATTTACTACCAAGATATCACCTAGCTTCAACTTCTTTTCACACATTTTATATTAATTATTATTGTCATTTGTAATACTGATGCATCTTGGAATGGCTCAGCCTGATAACTTGCTCAATAAACTATTAAAATAAGTAAAATTATTAATTAAATTTTAACATATCAAATTAATATGTCAAACAACATCAAACTAACCATAATTAATCTAATAAAGTAAGACAAAAATTCTCAACTTTTTGTGTGTGTGGACTTCTTTTAAAAAATTTTTTCCTGTCAATCCTTTTCATTATTATATACTACATATTATACATAACATTCATGCCATAACACTGAAATCCCGGAGTAAGCAATATGCCTTAACAACGGGTAAGGTTGGAGAAACAATCGACGACCATTTTCGAGCACAAATATACGCGAGTGGAATGTCCTTCCACCCGCGTAGGTCCGCACCCGATCGTGATCGAAAACACTGTTTCTCCGACTTCTTCCAACCAGTAGATGTATTGTTTACTTCACTTCATAACACAAGCATAAAGTTGACCATTATCTGATTTATTATAGTAAAATTAAACAGAACATACTGTAAAGGATTAATTGAAAATAATCTATGTAAATGAAATTAATTAAAATTTTCAATTAGGGAAGGAATGGGGTTGGACTTGTTTTGGCCTAAGCTATAACACATAACAGGCCTTCCTTTCCATTATACATTATATACATATAACGATACATTAAAACATCTGAGGTCCTAATCTACATCTCCAGCCTGGGGAAGAAACATTTGAATCCATTCGAAACCATTTGAGTAGTAATCAAAATTAAATTATTAAATATTAAATCCTCAAAATGTATTAAATCAACAAATTAATAATTTAAACCAATTGGTGAAATGCTCTGCAATTATATCTTATGATAAATTACTTCAATTAATTAATTTAATTGTCGAGTCGACCGAAAAAATTCTCCAATCGATTAATTCTTTGTAATCCGATTAATTTGGTAGTTATCGATAATTAAGCAATTTAATTACATACAAAATCATTTGTTTTAAATACCTAATTCAATCTTTCGATATGCTAAACAGTTTAGCAGATAGCTTATTTACGGTTTATCACTAATTATATTTTTCTACTTTTTATAGTGTAAAAAAATTGTTTTTAATTAGATGTTGTGGATAAAACTGTGATAATGGCCTAAGAATGCTTACCGAAAAAAAAAAAAGCAATAATCGGAGTTTTGATAACTTATCAAATGCGAAGAATGAATTTTTTGAAAGTTTTCTCTAGAAAAATAGTTGAATTTTATTAATAGTGTTACTAGTCTTTGCAGCTAAGTATACATATCTCTCATTACTTTTCATATACTTAAAAAGTATTAAAGCATAACTATTCTCATAGTGTTTGCATTGCAAAGCAATTATGTTTTAAAACGTCAATTCTTTGATTTCGTATTGTTGTCTTGTTTACCGGACATTGCCCGTATTAATTTAAATAAAATAAACAAAAAACTGTTTGGATAGACTTTCCTGTTCAATTATAATTTTTATTAAAAAATCATTGAAAATTTTCATAGTAATATATTGGGTTGATGTATAAGTTCATAGCATTTGTCATTTGGAATGAAAATGTTGTGCTTGTGAATATCCCTCGTATTTTGGAGATGTGAAGGAAGAAAGTGCAATTTGCAGACTAAAGACACAGTGTTTGGAGTGAAATGAAAATAATTGTTGTTTCAAAGAGGGCCACTTTAACTCAAGCAATTCTCCACATCTGTCTTGATTTGATAAAGACTGTTTAAATGCTTTAATCCATAATGATCTACATTAGACAAAGCAAGAATTGGTAAATGTAATGAACTGTAATCAGTAAACCATTGTGTAACATTTGTATTCTATGGAGAAATAAGTTCGTAGCAAAAAACAACTATGAACTTATGCATCAACGCAATAAAAAATTGCTACTTTATGGTTATGAAAACAGATTCTAGACTAGAAGTTAACTTCTTATCATTCCCTTTTCTTTTTTTGCTAATATTGTTAATAATTTGCACATAAATAAATCTTCCTGACCCCAGCCCTAGGCTATTCTTGGCATCCCAATATGAAAACTTCCAACGCCATTTTATAAAAAAAAAAGTGGCTCTCAAAGACTGTTCAAATTGTTGGCTCAAACAACCAGTTAATAGATTTCAACTGACCAGAAACAAAATTCTTGGATCTTGGTAAAAGGTGCAGAGTTATTATTAAGCCATAAATCTGTGGTTTATGGCTTAAGGCAGGGATGTCCAACGTTTTTGTTTCTCTGGGCCACATTGAAAGAAGTCAAGGAGTTTTGGGCCACAACTATATATACTTATGGCCCAATATACAAGTATATTTAAGGATTAACATGTCTAGATTATAATAATAAGTATTAGAACTTTATCACGGAAAAGGATATTTTAAAAAATTACTTCTACAGACACTTTCAATTTTTAATTAGAAATAGATAAATTCATTTATTATAAAAGAGACAAACGAAAATTTATTTGAAAAACACAAATACTGTACTTGTTTAATTTGGGTCTTTAATTAATAAAAAGCGACAAAATACCATTTTAAAGTGCATTTTTATTCGATTAATGTATTCACAAATAATATGTAGTCCAAAAAGTAGCCAAAGTGCCAAATTATATTTTTTACGTCAAACAAAAAATATTAGCCACATTTGGCGCAATGTAGCCAAATCTTGCAACGCTGAAAGGAATACTAAATAAAGCTGGAGTTGTGACTCAAAGGATTATAGACCAAATGCAGGGAAAGAAGAGAAAGAACAAAAGGTAAAAAAGTGAGAAAGGTTGGAAAATTAAGGGTCAATATTTGCATAAAAGAAGATCTATTTAACCTTTCTCACTACTTTTTATCTTTTGTCCTTTAACTCTTTTCCATCCTTTCCCCAAATTTGGGTCCATAATTCTTTGAGTCACAACTCCAGCTTTATTTAATAATCTTTTTTCATTCACACATCTCCAAGTATTTGAAAATATTTCCTTTCCACTCAAAAATAAAATACAAATAAAGATTTATGGTTTTGTGAAACTTATTTTTTGAGTTTATGCCGTTGAAATAAATAAATTATAAAAGAATTTAAACATTTGTCAGTTTTGTTTACACGTTTATTGGGCTACATTGAAACTTGCCTTGGGCCGCACGTGGCCCGCGGGTTGGACACCCCTGGCTTAAGGTGTCTCAGTCAGAGAAAAAAAACACCAAACTGCTAACAGACCATACGTTTATTTGTTTTATATCATACAAAGTTACGCACAACAAGCTGTAGTTTTGGCAAGACATTTTTGACATCGAACAAACTTTATATACAAAACAGAACTGTATTTGCACTATAAGTGATTTACATTAAATGTTAAAACTGCTCTATTCTATCTGTTTATAAAGTTTATTAGATGCTGAGGATGGCAAACCTTTTTGGCCTAAATCAAAAAGATTTTTCATACAAAGATCTGTCATACAATACTAAAAAAATTTAAGTGTATATTGTTGCTTAAATACATATATTGAGAGGGAAAAGTTTATGATTTGAATCCCCCATGAGCATATTCTAATTGTAATATATTGTAAGTCTGTTTTCCATTATTTACAATGTGAATATTTATCAACTAAGCATATGTTAATTATCACAATTGATGATAAAATTGAGAAAGAAACAGAAAGAGAATCTGTTCACATTCCAGATAAAATAAGATAAAGTGCCTACCTTTACAGATTCTAGTTAGAGGAATATCCATTTCTTAAGTCATGTTTTGTTGTAGTTATAATGTTAGTTTAGATAACAAGAGGCAATGCATAATACTAAAGACACTCCAAAAAACATTAATAATTGCATTAACCACTTTAATTTCAAATGCTTTTGGCTGTATTAACGTTTTGTAAGTTTCTCAAGAAAAATTGTACGATGTGGCCAAAACGTTAGAAATTAAAATGGTTGATTAAGATTTTTTGGAGTGGAAATAATAGGATATATTTGGCAATGATCTGTAATTAGTAACTGTCCTTTGTGTGAATTAATCAGCAAATTATCAAAATACTAAATCCCGATAATCTTGCCATTTACTGTAGGCAGAGGAGAGTTATTTATTACAAATTCTGAACCTGTACTATTTTATTTATAACATTTTATTATACTGTAATTTTTACGCTTAAAAAAATATTAGACAAAAAGTTCATAAATAAGTGTCTCAACATAAAAATTTTTCTGTAAGAAAAGTTGTGCGCATGCATATATGCACATACAATCCTTACAAAACTATTCATGGCACTGTTATGCAATGCATATAAGTATACATGCACATTCAAATTTTCCGAGCATCTTTGCATACTGATTTCGAAGAATATTCAGGAATTTAAGTTATAAATTTATAATCCTCACTATGTTTATGTAAATGTACTATTGCAGGGCTGTCCAACTGGCGGCCCGCCAAATAATTTTTACGGCCTGCGAGTACATTTTACTATGAATAAATTTATGTTACTAAATTATTATTATTAATATTAAAATTATTTTACTATGTGAAAATTTAAATCTAATTTGAATTTAAAGTAGGTACTATTTAGTTTGCGTTAGTTCACTTAACCTGGCTGAATACAGCAGCAACCTTCTTGGCCCCCGAAATGTTTGGTGAAGAAAATATGGCCCGTGGGCTATGATAAGTTGGACAGCGCTGTACTATTGTATATTAACAAATGACAGTTATATAAACCTACATATACATACAAACCAACTATATGCACATACATACTAAGCCAACAACTATCGGATCATATAGGGTTATTATATTGTAATTATTTTAAATTATTAAATCTAATAAGAAATGACACCTAATGCCTCCCTCTAGTAACAAATTATTTAGTAATTAATTTAAAATGATGACAATATAATAGCCCGATATAATCTGGTAGTTGTTGGCTTATTATAAATGACAGTTATCTTTCCATAACATACAAGTTGTAAGTTTCAGGAAATCTAGTAATTGATTCTCTCACAGAACTATTTAAATATTGTTTCAGAGTATCTTATTTAGAATGTTAAAGATAGTTTAAGGAAAACAATTAGAAGAATGAATTAATGTTTAATGTTCTGCAAATTTTTTTTCATTTAATTCTTAGTTTTTACTACAGATTTTATCGTCACTACTTTGACATCAATTGCTAGACATCACGCGACGACAAAACTAAATACATCAAAAATTTGCAAACCTTTTATAAATGGTAATCCAAAATTTGAACGTTTGAATGACGTAAAAAGAACTCTTGCAGATGCACGCGAACGTCTGAACGTCTTCAGGCAAAATGTACTCCGCCAAAAGATACCAAAGATCTAAAGGATAATCCACACCAGCTGTAGAATCTGTAGTTGTATTATCTTTCTTCTTTGTACCTTTTTCTGAAAATATATTTTTTTCCATTACTTAAACTAAATTGTTGAAACTGGAATAAAATTGAGAATAAAACTTTCTTATTGAGTAAAGTTAAAAATGTGTAATGAATGCTTTTAAAAAAATCCAGCAACATTTGGTGGCGTCATCTGTTATCATATTTTACTAAAAATTTTTTTATGTTTTTATTTCTAACTATTATAAAATGGTGAAAAGCTTAATTTTGAGGGTAAGGGCTAGTTTTATAAAAAATTGTAAATGCTAATAATAAGTAAAATTGTCAACAAGTCCGACCCTACCGGAAATACACACGACCCGCATTATCTCCCAACCCCCTTGACCTTTAATCACCAAAATTTAATAGCTTCAATCCCTCTAATAAACAAACCTCCCTGCAAAATTTCAGAAATTTTTGACAAAAAGCACAGGAGTTATTAAGATTCAAACAGAGTAAACAAAATCATTCCACATACACACACCCCCCCATATAAGGAAATTACTCCCCAAATTTGTTTTGCATTTCTCAACATTTCAACGTTTCCTAAGTCCAAAAATGTAAAAATCTGGGGGGGTCATATTTTGTCAGATCGCCATACTTTCCCTCTGTATAACAGTCGGAAAAGTAAAAATGTTGAAACATTCTTCAAATTAAATTAAAATATTTATTTGCAATTTGACACAAGGATGTAATATCAAAATAATAATCTTTATATGTGTAGATTTATTATTGATTGATAATGTGACATTTATTTAAATATTTTTGGAACACGAGTCTAAGGAATGTGGTGAATATACTCGATTCACAAATAATAGGTTAAATAGGATTTTTGGCCAAATACTACATAATTATTCAGATGTTACTGTTGTCAAGTAGCAAATATTCTTGTCTTTCCCAACTATCAAATATTCAGACAATTTACTGTATTTGGAATCGTATCAAACAGAAGCATCGGAGAGGTTTTTTTTGTACTACTGTCAACTTTAGTGTATTTGTTTTTAAATTTAAGCATTTATTCTATAAATAAAAGAATAATCATCCAAAAATATCTTAAAGTAATTAATTAATGAATTAATTATAAAAAAATAGTGATGGATACAATGCAAAGAGATTATTTTTCCACATCTGACACATTATTATTAAGTAGTATCCTTAATCACCATATTCTGAGAAAGATGACAGATTACGTTACTGGATTATTTTTGGGCTCCATTAAGACTAATTTAATTACGATTAGTCCTCACCAAATACACCAATTCTCGTCCGATCTCCGAAGTTAAGCGGCATGAGGCTCAGATATTATTTTGGTCGGAGATGTCACGATTTCTAGATCCTCTGGCAGATCTGGAAGATTCCAGTCTGTATAAACAGGTAGGGTTAGTGGCAGGAATAGCACTCAGTGGTAAAAGGTATGGCAAATCTGAATGTTTCCTATGCAGGGAATGGGCATTAGAAACATTACATTATTTATAAATAAGATTGAAATGATTAACATTAATTTAATTATTACCTAAATTGAATCTAAAGATAGGCAAATATTTCACTATCTTTGTATAAATATTAATGATTACAGGCTAATTTTAAATATTCCACATGAAAGAATCAACCCAAAGGACATGAACTTGCCACTAAGAATTTTTCTAACTTGTTTAATATTCAAACTTAAATTCTAATTATAATATTGTCTTTATCAGAAACCAACTGGACTTCTAAAGCTCTACAGTAGTTTAAGCCAGTGCAATAAATTAAAATTCTAATTTCTCAATAATAAAATACAGCAACGAGTGGCTTAACTTTCCCAACAAAATTTAAAGTTTTGGTGGCACCATCCGTTATAGTCTGATATTTGGTATATCAGATTATAATAGTGCTTTGGTGGCACTATACTATAGTAAATGCTAATAAGAAGTAAAATTGTCATTAACTTCAACCCTACTGGAGATATGACACACAACCCCTTCTATCTCCTCCCTGCCTTGACTTTTAATCTCCAAAATTTAACAGCATCAATCTCCCTAATACGCAAACCTCCCTGAGATACTTCAGAAATTTTCAACAAAAAGCATGGGAATTAAGTATCGAAGAGGATAAACAGAATTGTGTCCCATACACATGCCAACATCCATACATACTGAAAAACCCCTAAATTTTTTCTCATTTCTCAATATTTCATGATCCAGAGTCCAAAAGTGTAAAAATCTTGTGGGGTCTTTTTGACTGACTGTTATATATAACAGAGAGAAAATATGGCAGAGTAAGTAAAAAAAAAAATATGATACCAAAATGGAAGAAAGGCTGATATTAGGACAATTTTAATTAATGCAAAAAGGTAGATATAGAATACTTTTACAAGGAAGGTTCCATGAAAAACCAGAAAGTGCCATTGAAAGTTGGGAGGATGAGCAATGAAGTAGTAATTTTGACCCATAAAACTTCCAAATCTGAGGTAAATAACTGCAAATGACAACACTGTTGATGTGCAAGAACATAAGACAACAGACCAATAAAATAAACATCCACTGGCTCATGCAGGTACAATAAACAGACAATTACATGAGTTGCACAGAGGTGCATGAGTACAGTTTCCAAGATTCCAAAAATAGCCAGAGTTCTGTGGAAGATTTTCCATGGCATTCACCGCAGTTCTAACTATAGAGTATCTTCAACAGAACTGTGGCTGTTTTTGGAACCTTACAACTCTACTCATACATCTGTGCACAACTCATGTAATTGTCTGTTTACTGTACCTGCATGAGCCAGTGGATGTCCATTTTATTGGTCTGTTGTCTTATGTTCTTGCACATCAACAGTGTTGTCAGTTGCAGTTATTGTTGCCTCAGTCTAAGAAGTTTCACATGTCAAAATTACTACTCCATTGCTCATCCTCCAAACTTTTAATGGCACTTTTTCAGTTTTCTTCGAATGCGCATTGGGTAATTAAATCTGCAGAATTTTATAGAATTCAAATTAAAAACATTAAAGATTTACAGTTTTTTTGTGATTGTTTTCTTCATGAATTACTTACTGTTTTAAGGAAACTGATTTGTATTTTCTCACAGTATGTAACTTAAAATCAAGCATAATTTTCAATGTTATTTATAATCTTGATCAGTTTAAACAAATATATTGTTTTATTAAATCTTTAATTGATTGGAATAATTAATAAAAATTATAGGTATGGTCACAATTAAGGTGCATTCTGATCTGGCATGCCCATCTTAAACAGCAGCTACCATAATGCAACACAGACAATGGATGAGATCATCATGTTCGGCAATTGACGAAGACAAATAACATCTCAACTAACGAAGGGAATTCACCAATCTAGCTTATATTGTTTAATGAGTAAATTGTGTGTGTGTATGCATTTTCATTTCTTATGTCCATCTGAAACATGATCAGGGTTTCAACCAATGTGATGGGCTCATACGCTTCTACTGTAACGAAATCTTTATGTTTATTGGACCGTTTATACAAACTTACAATGGATATCGGCTAGCATAAGTGAGAAATAGAAAACGATGTCCAAAATTCCTACTGTTCACGATAAACTATAATGGTCTGATTATTATTCTAAATTGCATTAGAATATTGCTATGTTAAATCCAGTAACAAAAATGCCTCATGGAGATAGGTTAACATCATACCATGTGAATATGTAGCATATTAAATCCTTCTTTACCCATCATTATTATTGAAAAGTAGTAAACTAAGATATGTTTTTGATAAAATAAACAATTCTTTGTTTAACAAAATATTAAATGTACTAATTTGCAGATTGTTAAAAGTTTGAATAAATAACTTCCATCAAGTTCTAACAGGGAAAAAGCTGTATTGTAGCACACATCTAAAAAGATAGAAATTATTATATTGTGTTCCAAATACAGTACAACATTTTTTAATGAAATTTTACTTTTCAAAATAAAAGATCATAGTAAATACTAGCAGGTTCTTTCTAATCTGCATATAGTAGGACCCTTACATGTAACATTATTGCAACATATTGATAATACAGGTTTGTTCTATTCCACTCGCATGTTGCCAATGCGATATTTCTTTTACTACGTTTTTAGGCAAGATAAACAAGAGAATTAGCAAATATTTTGACTCAAATTTCAAACACGCAGTTCCAATATGTTCAGAATGACAATAATTGTAAGAGGGAGAAAAAAAATTCAGAATAATGGAAGGAAACACATAGTATCAGAAGGTGAGTGACAAATTTAACTGCATGGCTTTCACATGTAAGGCTTTTGGAGATCAAAAGACTTTCATAGACATGTTGCAGAATTCAGAAATAATGGTGCCAAGGGTCTTTCGATTAAAAGACAATCAATTCAGTTGAATGCATTAAAAAAAGTACTCAAGAAGAAAATTGTAGACAATTCTACAGATGTAAAAATAAAGGTCAAATTATATTCGGTTCTTCTTTTTTTTTTTTTACTAAGAAACATTCCTTGTAATTTGGGGTTGTTCTACATTCAAAACAAAATGGTAAACATTTAAAATAATTTCTCTTTACATGTACATTTAGTATTCATCAATACATGTATTGAAAGAAATACTTACTTTTATCACATGAAACATCAACCGATTCTACTTTATCATTGTTTGCATCAAAATCATCGTCAAATTCTTCCAGATCCTTTTCGTACCACAATTTATCAACCGATTTTAAATTCTTCACTGAAATAAACATATGATAAGAGATTAATTAGTGGACATCCAGATTAACAAACAAAGAACAAACCATCTTTTGATATTAAATGGCAAAAGAACCATGTATTAAGCCAAACATTGATTTAATTATAAGTTAGAATCCCATTAAAGGTTTTTATAGGTTCAATTTGCTTCCCATGTTATATTGAATTTACCATTTCAATTCATGTCACTCAAAATTGGCTAATGTGTAATACAGAACAGAAGGTATGTTCTTTGTAATTATATGTGTTATCTTAACAATTTAATGCTATGTAATAACCATGCACATTTTTAAAAAATAGTTGACTGATGGGCATTGTGGGACAGAAACACATATCAACTAAAAAAGAATAAATAAAGGATAAAAAGCTGCCCAGTGTCTGACTGAATGCACTTTATCATGCTTATAAAACAAAGACATAGAACAACACTTATTAGTCAAATTAGTCAACAATTGTATCATCAAAACATATCAAAAATCTTTGGAAATCTGCAATCTCTTATTTAGAATTAATAATCTTAAAACACGTTGATACAAAAGATTTGACTGCCCATTCTCTCTAAGAACTTTTAAAGTATTTACCAACAAACAATATACATACGTATCTTGAAAATGTATGAAATATTTGATGTTTTGTCAACTCGTCGTCCAGTAGACTTGTTTTGGTTAAACCATTGGAAGTTGCGTTAAACAATTTGCATGTTCAAAAGAAATGTCTCTACCAATCAGACATTTGTAAAAGATAAATATTTTGATTTTGTTAAAAACTAAGTCCAAAGCCAAGAAGAATTATAGTTGATGGTATGGAAGTTATAAAGCCAAATGATCTTTACCAAAATTATTAGGCTACTAAGAATGTTTGGCTTTATTCAATTAAAATCAGATTACGAGTTGTTTATATATAAAAGTTATATTCAAGGTGGCCTATAACATTTGCATTTCCCCATCCAACAAACTTTACAAATACTTTATCTTAAATTTTGTCTTCGGCATTCACAAATCTGCAGTTGCGCAATCCGTATCTTGAATTCCATTTGATGTTATAGTCCTACAATAACAGTGAAATGTGTCTGTAAACTTTAGACACCCCATATATCAACCAATTACAGTTACATTCTTTGCTGTAACTAATGCATCTTATTTTAATATGAAGGAACATGCAACAGTGATAAACATTAAAATCAGATATATATATAAATTAAAATAAATTTTTAAGAAGTCTTCAAAGTCGATACGATACCTTCTCTAGCCAAAAAGTTTGTGGTCGGTTTTCTGACTCTAGTCGTCGATATTTTGCTGTTGGCAAAATCGTCCAATGTCACATCTGAAAAATTTAATTTATATTTAAATAGTGACTTATTTTTAATGCAACCTTTAATATTAAAATATTCATATTAACAAAAATATATGTAGCATCATCACATACTTTAATGTCAAAATATATTAGTTTTTAAACTAAATCTAGTTCACAAATTAATAATTTATTAACATAAAATGAGAGATTACCAAATACAGTTTAAAGCAGAAATTCTCAAAGTATGGCCTTGAGAACGCACTGCATATTACGTGGATTAACCTAATCATTTTCCAAAATACAATTCCATGCTGTTTAGACAGAAAAAGAACATATTCACACACTGCATTCTCTCTCATGTTAGGTTACTGGATAGACAAACTATTTTGACATATAATTTATCATCATCTAAGATGATATTTAGATAAGAAACAGACAAGGACGATTTGCAATTTTCTGTGACTTAATGTAAGTAGTCTGCAAATTGATTCCTTTGAAAACTTCTCATTTAATAAATACACTTTATAGTGTATTTATTAAATGAGAAGCCAAAGATTGGTCATTATTGTAATTCAACCAAAGCAGGCGTTGATATACTTGACAAATATATTACAAGATATACAGTAGAGCATCGATTATCCGACTCAATCAGGGACTTGGGTTGGTCGGATAACCGAAAAGAATGAAAAAAAATACATTATTAGTATAGTATATTAGTATATCCCATGTAATTAGTATATTAGTATATGGCTCTTAACCTACTTCGCATTGAATTTTCATCCATGTTAAGCATAACAAAATTAAAAAAAAAAAAATAATAATCATCACTATTGTATCGTTAAAAATTATTTTTAAATTATTTTGTTGTTCACAAAACAAACAACCACTCATAATTAGAAAATTAAGTCTCGTTTAAATACTGGCCTCCCTTTCATGGTTGAGCCAGTGTTGCCAGGTAAAACATACAAAAATTTAACAAAAATAATATTAAAGTAGCCAAGACATACCCAAATATTGTAGCGCCACATCACTAGCGGACATTTGAAATTTGCCGACTAGAACGGTCGGTTAACTGATGTGACAGTTAATCGGAGGTCGGATAATCAATGCTCTACTGAAGCTGTCAGTGTGAAACAAAAAGACGGCCAATGGCTGTTTTTTTTAATTTGATCGATGTAATCACTTATAATTCATATGTGCTTTATTGTGAGGCAAATGAAACTTGGGCCAAGAAATATCTAAAACATGAATCAGGTCAAAAAGTTTTTTCGGAAGTGTCTAGGCAAATTATTATGCCAGATCAACATGAAATACACAACTGAACGTTCCCAAGGTTTAGATAGCAGTTCAGTATCAGAACTAAACATATTTGGCTTTGAATGCAATCAAGTGCGAGCAATTTCAAGAGAAAGTTCAAAAGGAACCAAAAGGAAGCGCAACAAGGAATGCTATTAAAAATTTCCTAAAAAAGGGATATGCTTTCTATGTCCAAGATGTGAAGACAGAAAATATATGAAATCTTGAACAAAGTGCGTGAAATACATTTGCCCTAGACATACATCGAAAGAGGAATGATCTATTGTTAGAACATGTACTGAGTGCAATTAATTCAAATTTATAATAATTATTTTCAACAATAAAAACTGTTTTGAGTTCTAAAAGTTGAGTTATTTTAAAAATCCAAAATTATAGAAACGAACATATCAATAAAAAAATATATCAGCTTGGGATCAACTTCTAACCCCCCTCATCCACAATGCATACATTTTATTTAGAGTTGGAGTTGGTTACTGACCCCCCATGTGGTACACTTTTAGCATCCAGATGCAACTGTTAAAGTTCATAAACTTATGCTGCCAATTATTTTGGACTATATTAATGCTAATTTTAATCAATTGATATTTGACTTATAGATAAGCATTTCATACTTTAGTAAAGTTTCCATAAATAGTGAATCTTGACTCACTGGTTCCTCAAGGAACTCAAAAAACAATGTACCTTATGAACCGATGACTGGTGCCCAATGAAAAAAAACAAAAGAGAAAGTTCACCACTAACGTTTTCTAACTTCCCCGAGTTCTTCAGGTGTTAAAAAGAATTCTGATGGAACATAAAACATTTGGAATACGAATATTCAATGCATCATTCGAATCTGGAAGTATTTTGTAAAGAACAGTTAGTGAGAAGGATATTGGAAATGTTCTATCTAAATATAGCTATGAGATACACATGAAAACAGATCAGATATGCTTAAAAAAATTTGGTGGTTAGGAACCTGGAAATTACAGTTTTAAATTCAAACAGGAAAAAAGGATCAAAAGAGTTTAGTGTTTGACGGAATTTAGAATTTCCTTTGTGAAATCTGACTTCCGAAGATGAGCGAGAATTGTCTAAAATAAAAATCTCAAGTTTTTAAAAGCATTGATAATGTTCCAAATCAAGCAGAATTGTTGTGATAACATGCAGTGTGGTATGTAGTGGTAATAGTTAAATTACATTGTTGATTTTCATGAACAAAAGAAAAATTAATTTCAATCAGTTTGTAAAAGTCAATGCTGATTAAATAAACACATCATTTTACTACCTGCATACGTGCACCAGCCAAAGTAATGCGAGAAACTATGAGACAATTTCCCCTAGCAGTCACCAACACGTATTGTAGAACACATTTATGATTAAAAATTATTTGTTTCTTTGATGTTCATTGTTTATTCTTTCACAAACAAGCAAATTTTAACTTCATAAATACGAAAAAAATTGTGGCAAATACTAAACTACCAAAATGAAGCTTATATTTTGTATCTGTAAGCGAAAGAGAAACTAAAATTATAATACATCCTGTTGATCAATAATCCTGTCAATTATACACAAATAACTGATAAAATATATCCAACGTCTTGCAAATCAACATTCAAAATGGTTAAAAATTATAATGCAAAACTGAAGATAAATTTGATGCATCTAGTGGCAACTCTTGTGTGTAGTTTGCACTCTTAAAGTGACACTCTATTGTCATCAGTCTAATATTATTGCATAGTTTGTTGGTGAAAATCATATCTACATTAAAAAAAAGAGTAAAATGATCACCAGTATGCTTAAACATTGATGTATTTGGTGCATTCACCAAACTTCCCTTGGTAATATGAATTGTAGCTATGAATATGCTTGAATATAAATGCATTGTTCACAGGATAACACACTAATGACATTTGCTAACAAACTGTCCAATAATACAGATAATGAATGCCAGCTATACAACTGCATAAGTGCAAAGTACATATATACATTGCTGCAGGACGTATCCAAATTTCTTCGGTGTCACATTATGATTTTTATGGATTTTTCAATGTCACGTTGCAGGACTTTTGATACACCTTGAATAAATATATCAAGAAATCATTTAAATTATTAGAAAAGCTTTATATAAACAAGAATCAGACAAATTATTATTGATAAAATTCTAATACCAAGAACATTAATCATGGATATGCATATGAAATTATTCACAAGAGACTCAAAGATTCATAAAGTCTGTACTTAATGGGTTCCACAACAACTAACAAACAAGTGTAAAGAGAATTGATTGTTGATCTGTCAATGTTTATTGAAATGCTACTGCAAGGATAATGATGCCTTCTCGAAAAGAAGCTTAATTGGAGGTGGAACAATAACGTTTCATTATGAGTCAGAGAATAAATGCCCAAGTATGAAATAAAAGTTTCATCATTTGCCTATCAGGAAAAAATTCAAAATGCATAAACAGTAAGGAAGGTAATACTTATTGTTTTTGGGACTTGAAACAGTGATATTGGAGAACATTATCTTGAGTATTGAAACAATGAATAATACTCAGTACTGTAAAATTCTTTGTGAAAAAACTGAAACCTACAATACAAAGCAAATGTTGAGATCTGTCATTCTTTGTACAATGCACATCATCACATCATTAAAACAGTCAAAAGTCTTAAAAACCCGAAGTTTGAGAAACTGGATCATCTATCTCACAGTCCTGATCTCTCCTCCTTGGATTATCATCTTTTCGACCACCTTAAAGATGCTTTAGGAAGTTGTCAATTTGTTTCAGACCATGACATCTGAGCAGTGCATTCCAAGCTTGTCTTTCAGCCTAAATCTTTCTTTTCTGACAGGATTCAAAAGCTTGTGGACAGATGAAACAAATGAGCCAAGGAGTAGGGAGACTATGTTAAAAAAATAAAGTTGTCTGTTGTAATGAAGTCTACAAAAAAATTGCAAATAATTTCTGACTTATGCTCATAATTTATAAACAATACTACTACCTCAACTGCCATATAACATTGGGCTATATACTGGCAGTAATAATTATAAATTACTAATAAATTTGACCATAGAGTGAGGCATTAGGTGCCATCTCATATTAAATTTAATAATTATAATTTAAATATTTTTTAGATTAAACTGGAAGAAAAGAATCAGCACAGACTGGGACTCCAACCTGAAACTCCCGCTTGCCGTACCGACGCATGCCAATTATGCTACTCGGACCTCCAGTCTGATCTCCTCTTCCAGTATAATTAACATTACAATATACGCATTGTCGGTTATATCATAATTTATTAGTAACTTATAATTATTATTGCCAATACGTAGCCCAATGTTATACGGCAGCTGAGGTAGTATTATTGCAATGTATCAAGTTTCGTAAGATGTTTATAATTGATAAACATTATATTCTCAGAGATAGTTTAACGTGTTAGCAATGTGAAGAATTTTTCAGTATTTAATCTTTTAATTTTTACTGAATGATTATTTAAACACACCATCACAATTTTTAGGTATTTCATAAGTACTATAGATTTGTATCTTGATCTGGCACATCTGTTAATATGGGAAAAAAGTAAATTGATTTATTCTGATAGACAATTTTTCATATATAATAAAAGGAGGGAGAGAAAGAAAGAGAACAAAGCATGTAAAATGACTTTCTTCAATTGCAATATACTGTAAATTACATTAAAAAATTGCCAGGACGAATTCACATTTAGAAAAAATATATTTCTTTCCGGAAAGAAATATATTTTTTCTAAATGTGAATTCGTCCTGGCAATTTTTTAATGTAATTATTAATTTTATGATTGTGTTGGCTGCCACTAGAGTACTTTCTAACTTATTTACATTGGCATGGCAGACATATAGCCTAAAATAAAAGGTCAGTTTTGCTGTAGATTTGTTATTGCCTCTATAAAGTGTGTGAAAGGACAGAAGGATTTGGACTCTATTGTATGTATAGTTCGGAAAGAAATATATTTTTTCTAAATGCAATATACTGTCTTAAATGATCCACAAAATTATCAAAATCTTGGAACATATGAAAATGCTGATTTCTAGTAACAGTTTCATCTTGAATATCATGCTTTAGCTTCTGGTCAATTTGTACATCATATAAATAAAACTTGATATCCTGTAAGAATGTCCCAAGTACTTGTATATCCAAAGAGGATCTACCTCTTTGGATATATTAGATGGGGACCATTTTATAACTGGAAAGTCACATTTATTTCAGGAAGATATTTTAAAGCTGCATACTGTATTGCAAATTGCAGAAGTTTATACATTATTAATAAGTTAACATTAACATAACAAGTTTGCATTATACATAATTTATATACGTATGTGTGTGGGCAAAAAGTTCCTAGAATTGTGATATAACACTGTAATGATAGGACATAAGAAAACACTTATCTAATTACCTTCAAAGTAGGACTCTTCAACATGTACATGCATGTATGCATACACACTTGTCCCACCAATCCTACCATTGTTGGAAATTCAATAGGAAAGCTTCTTTTGAAACATTCAGGAATTTGGCTGTCGAATTCATTGTATTCTTTGATATAGATAGTGCAGTGTACCATGAGTTCTTATCATCTGTACAGAGTGTTACTGATAATTTCTACATGCAAGTTTTGCATAGGTTATGAGATGCAGTTCAGAAGAAACAGCACAAGTGGTTGGGAAAATGGTCTGTATCATGATAATACTCAGAGTCACTCAGAACTTGTGCAGCAAATTCCTCTCCACCAGACTTCCTGTCACTGTCCAACCACTGTATTCATCAATCTCATTCTGAGTAACTTTTGGCTGTTCCCTAGGCTGAAAATGAGTTTCAAGTGGATGAATTTCACAACTACAAAGGATATCAAATCAAATGCAACAAATGAACACTTAAATAGCCAAAAAGAAATCCTCCAATGGTGTCTCCAACAATGGCAGGATCAATAGGAAAGTGTGTGTGCGTGCACACTCTGAAGGACGCTACTTTGAAGATGACTAAGTAAATGTTTCCATATGTCTAGCCATTACAGTGCTATACCATAATTCCAAAAACTTTTTGATTGCCTGTACAACATATTTCCTCATTGCATACACAGCATATTTTACAATAATAAAACAAATGAAAATGCCATACTAATTGTTTTAAGCTAATTTTTAGTTTGTTTATCCAAAAAATGATAAAATGTCAAAAATCTTTCCCATATTATATATTTATCAGACTGCACTAGAAGTCAAAAAAGTCATTGGTTCCACACCTGTCTCAAGATATGATTGTAAGCTAAACAATATGGATTATGCTCAAATGATTCCCTTACTATCATTATGAAGAATTCTTGAAATGCAATGTACTATGCTTTTTACACTACTGATTCAGCAGCTGAAAATTGCACTGTGTGATGAAATTAAATCACTTTTAGAGACATTAAATACCATCACAAACTATATTCAGTCTGAATGATGAATTTCATTTATTTTGCATCTGATCACTATAAAAATGAGTAAATTTGGGAATATTCCAGGGCTGTGGAGTCGGAGTCGCAGAGTTTTGATGTTTTAGCCGGAGTCAGAGTCAGTTGGTAAGAAAAAGTTGGAGTCGNAAATCATCGTCAAATTCTTCCAGATCCTTTTCGTACCACAATTTATCAACCGATTTTAAATTCTTCACTGAAATAAACATATGATAAGAGATTAATTAGTGGACATCCAGATTAACAAACAAAGAACAAACCATCTTTTGATATTAAATGGCAAAAGAACCATGTATTAAGCCAAACATTGATTTAATTATAAGTTAGAATCCCATTAAAGGTTTTTATAGGTTCAATTTGCTTCCCATGTTATATTGAATTTACCATTTCAATTCATGTCACTCAAAATTGGCTAATGTGTAATACAGAACAGAAGGTATGTTCTTTGTAATTATATGTGTTATCTTAACAATTTAATGCTATGTAATAACCACATACATTTTTAAAAAATAGTTGACTGAGGGGCATTGTGGGCCAGAAATACATATCAACTAAAAAAGAATAAATAAAGGATAAAAAGCTGCCCAGTGTCTGACTGAATGCACTTTATCATGCTTATAAAACAAAGACATAGAACAACACTTATTAGTCAAATTAGTCAACAATTGTATCATCAAAACATATCAAAAATCTTTGGAAATCTGCAATCTCTTATTTAGAATTAATAATCTTAAAACACGTTGATACAAAAGATTTGACTGCCCATTCTCTCTAAGAACTTTTAAAGTATTTACCAACAAACAATATACATACGTATCTTGAAAATGTATGAAATATTTGATGTTTTGTCAACTCGTCGTCCAGTAGACTTGTTTTGGTTAAACCATTGGAAGTTGCGTTAAACAATTTGCATGTTCAAAAGAAATGTCTCTACCACTCTGACATTTGTAAAAGATAGTTTTTAACAAAATCAAAATATTTAAGTCCAAAGCCAAGAAGAATTATAGTTGATGGTATGGAAGTTATAAAGCCAAATGATCTTTACCAAAATTATTAGGCTACTAAGAATGTTTGGCTTTATTCAATTAAAATCAGATTACGAGTTGTTTATATATAAAAGTTATATTCAAGGTGGCCTATAACATTTGCATTTCCCCATCCAACAAACTTTACAAATACTTTATCTTAAATTTTGTCTTCGGCATTCACAAATCTGCAGTTGCGCAATCCGTATCTTGAATTCCATTTGATGTTATAGTCCTAAAATAACAGTGAAACGTGTCTGTAAACTTTAGACACCCCATATAATATCAACCAATTACAGTTACATTCTTAGCTGTAACTAATGCATCTTATTTTAATATGAAGGAACATGCGACAGTGATAAACGTTAAAATCAGATATATATGTAATATATAAATTAAAATAAATTTTTAAGAATTCTTCGAAGTCGATACGATACCTTCTCTAGCCAAAAAGTTTGTGGTCGGTTTTCTGACTCTAGTCGTCGATATTTTGCTGTTGGCAAAATCGTCCAATGTCACATCTGAAAAATTTAATTTATATTTAAATAGTGACTTATTTTTAATGCAACCTTTAATATTAAAATATTCATATTAACAAAAATATATGTAGCATCATCACATACTTTAATGTCAAAATATATTAGTTTTTAAACTAAATCTAGTTCACAAATTAATAATTTAGTAACATAAAATGAGAGATTACCAAATACAGTTTAAAGCAGAAATTCTCAAAGTATGGCCTTGAGAACGCACTGCATATTACGTGGATTAACCTAATCATTTTCCAAAATACAATTCCATGCTGTTTAGACAGAAAAAGAACATATTCACACACTGCATTCTCTCTCATGTTAGGTTACTGGATAGACAAACTATTTTGACATATAATTTATCATCATCTAAGATGATATTTAGATAAGAAACAGACAAGGACGATTTGCAATTTTCTGTGACTTAATGTAAGTAGTCTGCAAATTGATTCCTTTGAAAACTTCTCATTTAATAAATACACTTTATAGTGTATTTATTAAATGAGAAGCCAAAGATTGGTCATTATTGTAATTCAACCAAAGCAGGCGTTGATATACTTGACAAATATATTACAAGATATACAGTAGAGCATCGATTATCCGACTCAATCAGGGACTTGGGTTGGTCGGATAACCGAAAAGAATGAAAAAAAATACATTATTAGTATAGTATATTAGTATATCCCATGTAATTAGTATATTAGTATATGGCTCTTAACCTACTTCGCATTGAATTTTCATCCATGTTAAGCATAACAAAATTAAAAAAAAAAAAATAATAATCATCACTATTGTATCGTTAAAAATTATTTTTAAATTATTTTGTTGTTCACAAAACAAACAACCACTCATAATTAGAAAATTAAGTCTCGTTTAAATACTGGCCTCCCTTTCATGGTTGAGCCAGTGTTGCCAGGTAAAACATACAAAAATTTAACAAAAATAATATTAAAGTAGCCAAGACATACCCAAATATTGTAGCGCCACATCACTAGCGGACATTTGAAATTTGCCGACTAGAACGGTCGGTTAACTGATGTGACAGTTAATCGGAGGTCGGATAATCAATGCTCTACTGAAGCTGTCAGTGTGAAACAAAAAGACGGCCAATGGCTGTTTTTTTTAATTTGATCGATGTAATCACTTATAATTCATATGTGCTTTATTGTGAGGCAAATGAAACTTGGGCCAAGAAATATCTAAAACATGAATCAGGTCAAAAAGTTTTTTCGGAAGTGTCTAGGCAAATTATTATGCCAGATCAACATGAAATACACAACTGAACGTTCCCAAGGTTTAGATAGCAGTTCAGTATCAGAACTAAACATATTTGGCTTTGAATGCAATCAAGTGCGAGCAATTTCAAGAGAAAGTTCAAAAGGAACCAAAAGGAAGCGCAACAAGGAATGCTATTAAAAATTTCCTAAAAAAGGGATATGCTTTCTATGTCCAAGATGTGAAGACAGAAAATATATGAAATCTTGAACAAAGTGCGTGAAATACATTTGCCCTAGACATACATCGAAAGAGGAATGATCTATTGTTAGAACATGTACTGAGTGCAATTAATTCAAATTTATAATAATTATTTTCAACAATAAAAACTGTTTTGAGTTCTAAAAGTTGAGTTATTTTAAAAATCCAAAATTATAGAAACGAACATATCAATAAAAAAATATATCAGCTTGGGATCAACTTCTAACCCCCCTCATCCACAATGCATACATTTTATTTAGAGTTGGAGTTGGTTACTGACCCCCCATGTGGTACACTTTTAGCATCCAGATGCAACTGTTAAAGTTCATAAACTTATGCTGCCAATTATTTTGGACTATATTAATGCTAATTTTAATCAATTGATATTTGACTTATAGATAAGCATTTCATACTTTAGTAAAGTTTCCATAAATAGTGAATCTTGACTCACTGGTTCCTCAAGGAACTCAAAAAACAATGTACCTTATGAACCGATGACTGGTGCCCAATGAAAAAAAACAAAAGAGAAAGTTCACCACTAACGTTTTCTAACTTCCCCGAGTTCTTCAGGTGTTAAAAAGAATTCTGATGGAACATAAAACATTTGGAATACGAATATTCAATGCATCATTCGAATCTGGAAGTATTTTGTAAAGAACAGTTAGTGAGAAGGATATTGGAAATGTTCTATCTAAATATAGCTATGAGATACACATGAAAACAGATCAGATATGCTTAAAAAAATTTGGTGGTTAGGAACCTGGAAATTACAGTTTTAAATTCAAACAGGAAAAAAGGATCAAAAGAGTTTAGTGTTTGACGGAATTTAGAATTTCCTTTGTGAAATCTGACTTCCGAAGATGAGCGAGAATTGTCTAAAATAAAAATCTCAAGTTTTTAAAAGCATTGATAATGTTCCAAATCAAGCAGAATTGTTGTGATAACATGCAGTGTGGTATGTAGTGGTAATAGTTAAATTACATTGTTGATTTTCATGAACAAAAGAAAAATTAATTTCAATCAGTTTGTAAAAGTCAATGCTGATTAAATAAACACATCATTTTACTACCTGCATACGTGCACCAGCCAAAGTAATGCGAGAAACTATGAGACAATTTCCCCTAGCAGTCACCAACACGTATTGTAGAACACATTTATGATTAAAAATTATTTGTTTCTTTGATGTTCATTGTTTATTCTTTCACAAACAAGCAAATTTTAACTTCATAAATACGAAAAAAATTGTGGCAAATACTAAACTACCAAAATGAAGCTTATATTTTGTATCTGTAAGCGAAAGAGAAACTAAAATTATAATACATCCTGTTGATCAATAATCCTGTCAATTATACACAAATAACTGATAAAATATATCCAACGTCTTGCAAATCAACATTCAAAATGGTTAAAAATTATAATGCAAAACTGAAGATAAATTTGATGCATCTAGTGGCAACTCTTGTGTGTAGTTTGCACTCTTAAAGTGACACTCTATTGTCATCAGTCTAATATTATTGCATAGTTTGTTGGTGAAAATCATATCTACATTAAAAAAAAGAGTAAAATGATCACCAGTATGCTTAAACATTGATGTATTTGGTGCATTCACCAAACTTCCCTTGGTAATATGAATTGTAGCTATGAATATGCTTGAATATAAATGCATTGTTCACAGGATAACACACTAATGACATTTGCTAACAAACTGTCCAATAATACAGATAATGAATGCCAGCTATACAACTGCATAAGTGCAAAGTACATATATACATTGCTGCAGGACGTATCCAAATTTCTTCGGTGTCACATTATGATTTTTATGGATTTTTCAATGTCACGTTGCAGGACTTTTGATACACCTTGAATAAATATATCAAGAAATCATTTAAATTATTAGAAAAGCTTTATATAAACAAGAATCAGACAAATTATTATTGATAAAATTCTAATACCAAGAACATTAATCATGGATATGCATATGAAATTATTCACAAGAGACTCAAAGATTCATAAAGTCTGTACTTAATGGGTTCCACAACAACTAACAAACAAGTGTAAAGAGAATTGATTGTTGATCTGTCAATGTTTATTGAAATGCTACTGCAAGGATAATGATGCCTTCTCGAAAAGAAGCTTAATTGGAGGTGGAACAATAACGTTTCATTATGAGTCAGAGAATAAATGCCCAAGTATGAAATAAAAGTTTCATCATTTGCCTATCAGGAAAAAATTCAAAATGCATAAACAGTAAGGAAGGTAATACTTATTGTTTTTGGGACTTGAAACAGTGATATTGGAGAACATTATCTTGAGTATTGAAACAATGAATAATACTCAGTACTGTAAAATTCTTTGTGAAAAAACTGAAACCTACAATACAAAGCAAATGTTGAGATCTGTCATTCTTTGTACAATGCACATCATCACATCATTAAAACAGTCAAAAGTCTTAAAAACCCGAAGTTTGAGAAACTGGATCATCTATCTCACAGTCCTGATCTCTCCTCCTTGGATTATCATCTTTTCGACCACCTTAAAGATGCTTTAGGAAGTTGTCAATTTGTTTCAGACCATGACATCTGAGCAGTGCATTCCAAGCTTGTCTTTCAGCCTAAATCTTTCTTTTCTGACAGGATTCAAAAGCTTGTGGACAGATGAAACAAATGAGCCAAGGAGTAGGGAGACTATGTTAAAAAAATAAAGTTGTCTGTTGTAATGAAGTCTACAAAAAAATTGCAAATAATTTCTGACTTATGCTCATAATTTATAAACAATACTACTACCTCAACTGCCATATAACATTGGGCTATATACTGGCAGTAATAATTATAAATTACTAATAAATTTGACCATAGAGTGAGGCATTAGGTGCCATCTCATATTAAATTTAATAATTATAATTTAAATATTTTTTAGATTAAACTGGAAGAAAAGAATCAGCACAGACTGGGACTCCAACCTGAAACTCCCGCTTGCCGTACCGACGCATGCCAATTATGCTACTCGGACCTCCAGTCTGATCTCCTCTTCCAGTATAATTAACATTACAATATACGCATTGTCGGTTATATCATAATTTATTAGTAACTTATAATTATTATTGCCAATACGTAGCCCAATGTTATACGGCAGCTGAGGTAGTATTATTGCAATGTATCAAATTTTGCAAGATGTTTATAATTGATAAACATTATATTCTCGGAGATAGTTTAATGTGTTAGCAATGTCAAGAATTTTTCAGTATTTAATCTTTTAATTTTTACTGAATGATTATTTAAACACAGCATCACAATTTTTAGGTATTTCATAAGTATTACAGATTTGTATCTTGATCTGGCACATCTGTTAATATGGGAAGAAAGTAAATTGATTTATTCTGATAGACAAGTTTTCATATATAATAAAAGGAGGGAGAGAAAGAAAGAGAACAAAGCATGTAAAATGACTTTCTTCAATTGCAATATACTGTAAATTACATTAAAAAATTGCCAGGACAAATTCACATTTAGAAAAAA